CAATGAAGAACTAACCACTGATGAGCTGATAGATCAACTTCAAGAGCAAGAGGCCAGACCTGAGGAAACTGGTTCAGAGGAGGGGAGAGAGAAATTGAAGAAGTTGCCTACTACAAAGATTAAGGAAATGTGTGCAAAGTGGCTTGAAGTGCAAACCTTTTTTGATGAAAATCACCCTCACACAGCTATTGCAAGCCGTGTTGGCAACCTGTACACTGACAATGTTGTGAAACACTTTAGGAAGTCATAAAGGAACGAGAGGTACAGGCCACTATGGACAGATATGTTGTGCGAAAGAAGTCCAGTGACTCTGAAGCTGGTCCTAGTGGCATTAAAAGAAGAAGGGAAGTAACCCCAGAAAAGGACTCGACACCTCAAGTCTTAATGGAAGGGGATTCCCCTTCTAAACACTAACACTCTCTCTCCCCTCCTCCCATCCCATCAATCATCACCAGATCTTCCATAAAAGTAAGTGTCATGTAAGTGTGCATGCCTTTTTCAGTTTGTGTGTATTAAAATTAACATTTCATGTGGTAAAAAAAATTTTTTTTTCATACTTTTGGGTGTCTTGCACGGATTAATTTTATTTCCATTATTTCTTATGGGGAAAATTCATTCACATACCGATTATTTCGCATAACAATTACCCCTCTTGCACGGATTAAAATCGGTATGCGGGGGTCCACTGTACAGTGGACCCCCGGTTCACGAAGTCATCGGTAACCGATAAATCCAGTATCCGAAGCGTTATATCGCAAAAAATTTGCCTCGGTTCCCGTTACAAAACCCGGTATGCGATACGATTCGTACAAAACGTGTCCAGTGTTTACAAGCCAGCCAGTGTGCGCGCATCTAAGGATACATTCGGTACATTCTATATTATCACTGTTTTTGGTGCTTTTTTCTGCAAAATAAGTCACCATGGGCCCCAAGAAAGCTTCTAGTGCCAACCCATCGAGACCCAAGGGTGCTAATGACTATTGAAATTAAGGAAATGTGTGCAAAGTGGCTTGAAGTGCAAACCTTTTTTTGATGAAAATCACCCTGACACAGCTACTGCAAGCCATGTTGGCAACCTGTACACTGACAATGTTGTGAACCACTTTAGGAAAGTCATAAAGGAACGAGAGGTACAGGCCTTTATGGACAGATATGTTGTGCGACAGAAGTCCAGTGACTCTCAAGCTGGTCCTAGTGGCATTAAAAGAAGAAGGGAAGTAACCCCAGAAAAGGACTTGCTACCTCAAGTCCTAATGGAGGGGGATTCCCCTTCTAAACATTAAAAACTTCGACACTCTCCCCTCCTCCCATCCCATCAATCATCACCAGATCTTCATTAAAGGTAAGTGTCAATTATTCTATTGTGATTATTCTATTATTATTGTTATTGTAATTACAGTGGACCCCCGCATAATGATTACCTCCAAATGCGACCAATTATGTAAGTGTATTTATGTAAGTGCGTTTGTACGTGTATGTTTGGGGGTCTGAAAGGAATAATCTACTTCACAATATTCCTTATGGGAATAAATTCGGTCAGTACTGGCACCTGAACATACTTACGGAGTGAAAAAATATCGTTAACCGGGGGTCCACTGTATTATATTGCATTAAACTTAATATATCATGTGGTAAAAGTTTTTTTTTCCATACTTTTGGGTGTCTTGCACGGATTAATTTGATTTCCATTATTTCTTATAGGGAAAATTGATTCGCTTTCCGATAATTTTGGTTTACGATGAGCTCTCAGGAACAGATTAATATTGTGAACCGGGGGTCCACTGTACTATAGAAATGAAGAAGGAAATTGTACAAAAATACAAGGGTTGAAGCAGTGGTGGAGGAAGTGGCCGAGGCATCATCAGTCAGTGTGGCTTTGTTTATGCTGGAGTGAGCATTAGCTTCCGTGCTTTTCCAAACATTTCATAATAATTCATTGTGTTTGGTGCTTGTAGATTGAGTGCAACTGCTACATAATTAACCATGGGCCCAAAGGAACTTGCTAGTGCCAACCCTTTGGTAAAGAAATTGAGAAACACGATAGAATTGAAGAAAGAAATTGTACCAAAATATGAGCAGTGCGCCGCAGTGGTTGAGGCAGTGGTATTTAATGACATACTTGTTATGGTTTAATAACATGTATGTATTTAGCACAATATTTTATGACGTTTTCATGTATTTTATAACTGTTCATGGTTCAACAAGTTAAGAAAGCAGTATTGTATTGTATTTCCCTACAATATATTGGGGCACCAAACATTCGTGATTTTTCAACATTTGCGAGGCTCCTGATCCCCTAACCCTCGCGAATGTTGAGGGAGACCTGTATTCATTTACTAATCATTATCTCCATGCCTGTACTAGTGTTAAGTAGAGTAGTTGTGAGTACTGTACTAGTTTAGTGTGCCCAAAATGCTGTGCATAACAAAGGGCTTTACAATAAAAAATGTTTCACTCTATACATATGTAATTCTCAAAACTGTAACATTACTTTGCATTGTTGGAGATAAAAATTTGTACTTGTATTTGTATATGCTTTCAAATTTTATTTAGTACTAGACACACATTTAATGAATTTAGCGCTGCTTTGCATGCAAGGAGCTTAAACATCCAGCAAGCATGTTAGATAGGAGTGAATGGAGTTAAGTGGTTTTTATGACTTGAAATGCTGTTGGAGTGTGAGCAAAGTAATATTTATGAAGGGATTCAGGGAAATCTGTTAGCCAGACCCGAGTCCTGGAGGTGAGAAGTAGTACCTGCACTCTGAAGGAGGGGTGGAGATATGTTGCAGTTTTTGAACTATAGTATTGGCACACCTCTGGTGGAAAATGGTCGATGTTTTTAAAAAAAAAAAAAAAAAAGAAAAATCACTGTATGAAAATTTTTGGAAAAAGGGAAAATTCTACGGGTTCCATTTTGCATAAAGAAGTTTTCTTTCAAAAAAAAGGGGCGTATCCCATGAAGCGGGGGGCCCAAAAAAAAAAACAAATTTTCTTTTTTTAACTTTAGCAAGGGAATAACGGGAAGAGGTTCTACCCCTTCCCGGGGGCCATTTTAATTCCCTTTTTACAACACGCGGGTTTTTGCATAAATTTTGGGATTTTTAAAAAAAATTTGGGAAAGTTGCTTATTTATCTATCATTTCCATTTTTTCCCCCCTTTATTTTTTCCCCGGCTTTCCCTTTTACTGAGTTTTCAAACTATCAATAAATAAAATTCAATCATTCTTCATACCCCCAAATTAAACCCCTTAATAAGCATTTGGACCTCTAAAAAACCCAAGTTCAACTACAATAGTTTTGGGTCTTGGGGTGACTTTCCCCCAAAAAAATCAGCATGGTATAATGACACACCCCCCCATCCCTGCCTAAAATGGGCTCAAATTCCCTTAAAAAAATTTAAAAAGTGTTAACTCTATAATATGGCACAAAACTGTTAGAGCAATAAAATTTTCTGGTCTGTACCACTGATGTTAACTACAAAATATAATGGTCTTATATAGAAAGACTGAACAATCTTAATCAATTTGGTTAGGCATGAGGACCAAAAATATTTTTGTAAGATTTTAAATGAACCACAAGCATAGCTAATATGCATTATTCATTATAGCTTAAATACATTTAGTTTACACAAACACATATTTTTGAGATACTACAGATAGACATTTAATTTGGCCTCTGTACCTTCTCCAAAATACCACTAGCCTGATGTAATGATAATGATGAAAACAAGACCAACAGACCAAACAAGCTCGTCTAAGTCACACAATATTTTATCTCGGACAAGAATGCCAAATACTTTGGTATGTTTGGAAAAGCTTATAATATTAAAAAAACTAAGTTCCCAGGAATGGCCACATTGGTGGCCTTATGTAAGAAATGTATACAAGAATTCTCTATGCATTCTGAGGAATTTTTTTTTTCAACATATTAGTTGTGAATACTGTACAGTACATGCATAATATTTATCTGCCATACAAACACAACCTACAGCATCTTTCTTACTGTAGGAGCTAAAAAAATATAAAGTATTAGTGCACCTCTTAACCCAAACTTAAAAAGTATACAGTATATAATACTGCCAACAGTAAATTAGACACAACCACTGTTCTCACAACTAAAAAAGACACAACTAATGAAACTATAAACAAAATAATCTGCGTTGCTAAACTTAAGTATAAATAAACCAGGTGTGATATAACATTGAATTTAATCCGTACAAATATCAAATATTATGGTCAGCTAACTGGAACCAAAACCAGGTACTATAGGTACATGTAACCTAACATTACACCAAGTAAAAGAAAAATGATGATATGAAATGTTTTATATTTGTTATTTTATACCATACATAAGTGTAATAAAACAGTTCTAGGTGAAAGAGTAATACTAAACCGTGTATGTACATATGCATTACACTCAAAATGAGAAAAATCTTATTGCCAATGGAAGTATTCAAATATATATGTACTGAATAAATAATAACAAGAACTAAAGCTGTGCAATGATATCACACTAATTAAAGAAATGCTAACACTTGAGTAACTGGTCTATGTTACATTACAAAAAGATGCACAATAGTCAAATCTAAATTTTCAAATACTATGTAAACTGTGCTGGAAGATGTCAGCCACCCAAGAAGTATACATTTAACTGCATAAAATAAATTAACTTCACAAAGTACTGAGTGACAGTGTATCATGTAAAGGGCTTATTGCAAATAATTAAATGCCTGATGCAAGCAAATGATCAACATAACCCTTTACAAGATCTCATTTTAAAACGTTCATAAAAACTTGTTTGTTACTAAATTTAAATAGAGAAACTTTCATTTTTCTTTTTAGGTCACCTTGCCTTGGTGGGATGTGGCCAGTTGTTGAAAAAAAAAAAAACTTGTTTTACAGAGTAAAGAAGTTACTGTTGTGATTACATTTTATAATAATAATCATTGATTGAATGAGTATGCAGTATTAATTAAAAGAATCCATTTTTCATTCACAGCTGCATTTTGAACCAACAGAAAGTTGCACTTCAGTACCAGGCCCTGGGGAACACACCTGGGATATGCCACACCAATTCATACCTAGTAACTAGCTCTCTTAGACCTGGCAAAGTCTATCATCCAATACTTTTCCTGTAAAGCATCTTTTTTGCTCTGTTCAACCATTCTTGTTCTATTACTGCAGTGGTTTGCAAGTCGCACCTCAAAAATAGTTTATTATAAAGTTATTTATGTCTCCTTGTACCTGGTGTTTTATATTATACAGCATTGTATTATATTTCAGAGAGCTGAGAAAGGGTTTTTGAGGTGGTTAAAGCATGAAGAGAGAATGGAGAAGGATGTGATGATGAAGAGGGTGCATTAATTAGGTGGAAGGCAAGATGGATAGAAGTTGTCTTAGAAACAATTGGAAGAAGGGGGGTATAACAATCTTTGAGTTTAGGGGCTTGAGCATCCAGTAGGTTTGTGACAGCATGTTTGATAAGATATGAATGGAGACAAGTGGGTTTTAATGGATGTGCTGTTGAAGTGTGAGCAAAGTAATTTGTGAAGGGATTCAGGAAAAGCAGTTAGCTGGACTGAAGTCCTGGAGGCAGGGAGTATAGCACTTGTACTCTAAAGAAAAAATTTGGATGTTGCAGTTCAGAGGATCATCTGAATTGTGATATCTATGCACTTTTGGTAAGACAACTATTAATATACAATGTATCATGGTGAATGTGTTTCCTTAATTGCGTCACCCTTCCCTGATGAGAGATGGCCAGTGTGGTAAAACAAAGTATATGTATCTAAATCAACTGAAAATGGAAAATCTATCTTCACACTATTTTCATTTAAATTAAAGTATATATTAATCTGGCTGTACTGTAAACAATGTTTTTATGAACCTGCTATGAGAAAATAGCCACAAGTTACCAATGAAGAAAATTTCAACATCTTCTGGACAGTTTACTGATATTGCTGGTTGTCAGTGAAGACAGTGACTTACTGTGTCTCACTACTTTCCATATCTTTCACTTTTTTTACAAACACATACTGGATATGTACATACATATATAACGGAAATATATCAAACGTTGCTAGCTGCCATCTACCTTAACCTGTAATTCAAGAATTCTATCAAATTAAATTAAGAAAAAGGATACAAGAGCTTAAAACTCCTCATTTTGAACTAGTATTTACAAATTACAATACTATTATCACTTACATGAAATTGGCTTTTATGGGAAAAGCCAGGTATTCATGGTAAATAAATATAAACTTAGTAACTACACGTAATGTCAATACTTTAAAAACTGGCCTTTGTAATGCCTAACCTTAATATGAGCCACTTCTTTGATCCACAGCTGTACCCTAAATTAAAATAAATGGTGAACATCCTTATCTAAAAACACAAATATGCAATGAATAATTGATAAATAGTCAATGCTAAAACATGAAAAGTAAGTGTTTTTAGAACAGAATTTAAGTTTTTTAACACTGATTTCCCACATTTATAAATCCAGAATATCATCTAATGGAACAGAGGTAATGAGATACAAGGAGAGAAAAAGCTATAATTATCACATACATCCTGATCAAATGAACAGGCTAAAACACACAAATATAAAGTTGCATAAAATTGCAAGAAATACAATAGGAAATCTAAAAAGAATCCATGAGGTAATTGAACTTTATGTAAAAAAAAAATTTGATCTTTAATGTACTTCAATGAAAGTAGAAAGGTATAAAAAAAAATACTGACAGTTAATTAGGTAAATAGACATACATGTTATGTTCTGTATATTTATTTGTATGATATGTTTTGCTTGCAAGGAGCTGTCAAGTATTAATGTACATAACCACACAGAGTAAGGATATATACATGTATAGTGAACAGGTGAGTTGTATGGGTGGGACCCAAGCATAAAGGTAATTCAAAAGATATTTAACAAAATTCTGCAATTAAAGGTAAAGCATAAATTTAACAATAGACTTGCACATGTATAAAATGCATTAGGTGATGGCCATGTTGTGGGGGTCACAACATTATTCTTGATAAGTGAACCCTCAATTTAATGGACTAACTGAGGAAAGAGGGTGACTGTTAAAGCTGTCTGTTCATTAAATCTGATTAAGATAGTTTTTCCATAATCCTAACAATAACAAAAATATTGATTTAACAAATTTTGTCGTTAAATCCAAAATCAATTTACCCAGTGAACAGTATCAATAATGGACAATTTTAGATTAAACAAACTTTGTCTGTTTCTGAATTTTGTCCAGCCACAAATTTTTTGTTATATCTGGAGCCTATTAATTCCGGGTCCAATAAATCAAGGTTATACTTTACTTCAGATATGATATTGTCGCTTATGGGAAATTATATCTAAGACTGCAAAGCATTATGGTACTTCTAAACACTGTCTCCTGTGTTGATAACGTTTCTTGCACTGTGCCATTTCATTAGGTGACCATAAGAACTGTGATTAATCACATATGTTATGGTTATTTATACATCCATGTGTGTCCACTTTCTTTGAAGTTTCACCAACATATATTTTTTGACACCCTCCACAAGAACTAAAGTAAACACCAGCATCACTGTCTCCAAGATTGGCTGTTTTGGTTATAGTTAAATCTTTAATGGTGATGCATTGGCTATAATTACATTAGTATTTACATCATGAGGGGGCCTTAGTTGTGTTCTCAGCTACACAGGTGTTGCAGAGTATGATACAAGTTTTAGTAGTTGTTTCAGTACTTAGTGTTATGATTATGTGCAAAGCTCTCTTCCTTCGCTCCCTGAGAAAAAAAAAAAAACTGCAATTCTGTCAAGACTTTGAAATGTAGGTGCATTCTCCTTCAAGGTATTCTAAGCTACTAATTCTGTAATTTTTTGATAAACCTGGAACTTCAGTGTATGGTCATCGGATTTATGGAGCAAGGAATTTAGGGAAGGGGATTTTGTGCTCTACATCTAACATGAACTAGACAGATGATTCTACTTGGTTATTTTTTTTTCCTTAGGTCTGCAATTTCCATCCTTCTGGGCTTGATGATAGGCATATTGTCAACATAATGTACTCAGATTATGTTGCTGGGATGATGGTAAGAGCTGCAGTGATAAGCGAACCCATTCCCATACAGCAATATTATATGTAGAGATTAGCACTGTAGCTGAAGTGATTCCTGGAGAGATAGAACTGTCATGCATAAGAGAGAGAGACCAAGATTGACACATACCTTTGTGAATAAGGACATCACTTCAAGACTCACCGTCTTGCTCCTAATGTTGATGCCTCCAACTCTGTTAAGCAAGTCTCCTGAATGCATCCAGTACTCATTCTTAATAGTTCCCAACAAACAGGAAAGGTTCTTAACCAAGACCTTGTGGTTTAGCGCTTCTTTTTGATTATAATAATAATAATCTTAACCAAGACACCTGACAACTTTTGTAGGGTACTACCAATACCAGGAGTGATGGGTCAATCGCAAGTTTTTGTGTATTTGGGAGCTTCATGCACAGATCCTTCACCAAGGAGCTCCTTTACAGTGTGACAGATTTTTAAATACAGTACTGTATAATAAACATAGGATGAAGCTTCTTTACCCGATTCCCAACAATATGAAACCAGCTTGGATGTACAGTAAGTTCTCATTTAACATCATCAATAGGTTCTTGGAAACTTTAGTGAAATGACACATAATGAAACCAATTTTACCATAGGTTAACTGATATAAACATCAAGGGTGCACAGTGTACCTTTATCACTCATTGCTACAGGGTTAAATTATTATTATTATTATAATCAAAAAGAAGCGCTAAGCCACAAGGGTTATACAGTGCTACAGGGTTAAAGTAAGGAATAAATGCTTGCAAAGCAAAAATTGTAAGGAGCACCTCCTACCATCACACATTTATGAAACAAACAATTATAAATATGGCAGACTCCCTGAGTGCTTCGTACCACAACATTTATTGTCATGAATTTGTATGATTATCGTATACTTTACGAATTTTTATTTTACAATAATTTGTATTCAGGGGCTAGTAACCCCTTCTCTTGTATAAATTACTGAATTTAAAAAGAAAAATTTTTGTTTTTCTTTTTTTAGGCAAAACCCCTGAGGGGGTTACCTTTTTTGGAAAAAAAAAAAATAAATCATATTCATTCATTCATTTTCCAACCAGCTTATTCCAGTTCTCCCCTCAAGGAAGGTTCCTTGATGTTGGTGGGTGAGGGGCTCTTGATTTAGGGAATTGGATCTGTGCTCCAGTTCCCCAAATTAAGCCTGAATGCCTTCCACATCCCCCCCCCCCAGGCGCTGTATAATCCTCCGGGTTTAGTGCTTCCCCCTTGATTATAATAATAATAATAATTATTCCAGTTCTGAATCACAGGTGGTTGAAGCAAGGTGGGAACTTATCCTTAACAGGATGCTATTTCATCACAGGGCACACTCACAAGAACACCCACACTCAATTATATTGGGACAATTTGGACACACCTATTAACCTAACGTGCACATCTTTGGGATGTGGGAGGAAACTGGAGTACCTGAAGAAAACCAGTGTAGACATGGGGAGAACATGCAAACTCCACACAAGACAGTGGTAGCGGCCAGGAATTAGCCTTTTCTCATCAATGTTAAAATGAAACGATGTTGAACGAAAAGATATCACGTGAGGATTTACTGTACAGGCTCCCCAAAACACAAACACCACCTGTCCTGTTATTACATAAGTAGGTAGGCATCCTGGTTAAGAACTTCCTATTTGTTGGGAATCATCCCCTCATGGAAGGTTCCTTGATGTTGGTGAGGGGCTCTTGATTTAGGGAATTGGATCTGTGCTCCAGTTCCCCGAATTAAGCCTGAATGCTTCCACATCCCCCCCCAGGCGCTGTATAATCCTACGGGTTTAGCGCTTCCCCCTTGATTATAATAATAATAATAATGTTGGGAATCATTAGTAACATGCACCTGAAGCATCCAGGGGATTTACCAATGAATGGGAGACATTGTTATGAAAAAAAAAGTTGGCGAGTCTTGATGTGATGTCCTTATTCACAAAGCTATCAGCTGACCAGGCTGTCACACTCTTGTTCCATAAATTACATAACAGCATGGATCTTTTGCTCCCAGCAAAAGATTTTGGGTTAATTTAACTGAGTTATGTGTAAATTTCAATTACTTCAGACAGGACAGAATGGATTCACCCATCAACAGGGCTCTTGCAATATGTTCATGAAGCATATGGAGGCAAAAAAACTAAACAAACATCATCCCCAATAATACAACATGGTTTCATTAAGTCAACATTCTTATCATTGCTCCCAGAAGACTGAACACTACAGACAAAACTTAAGTACAATCATCTATCCAAATCCCTCTGGAAGAAGTTGAGAATAAAATGACCTTTCCAGATATTTTACATAATAAATCTAATGAACAACCACTCCAGGTCTATCAAAAGCCTACTAATAAAAAAGGACTTGCTACATTCCTATTTTAACTACAATATACAAACTGGACAGGAAGTGGTAATACAAATTTTTCTTCATCCACATAGAATTAGTAGTCCTGAATACCTAGAAGTCTTTATAGAATTGCAGTTCCCTTCTCATTTTCTCAGGGAGTGCATAGAGAGAGCATTGTGTATAATCAATATACAGTGGACCCCCGGTTAACGATATTTTTTCACTCCAGAAGTATGTTCAGGTGCCAGTACTGACCGAATTTGTTCCCATAAGGAATATTGTGAAGTAGATTAGTCCATTTCAGACCCCCAAACATACACGTACAAATGCACTTACATAAATACACTTACATAATTGGTCGCATTCGGAGGTGATCGTTATGCGGGGGTCCACTGTATCAAGTATTGAAATCACCTCTAAAATCTATATCATACTCCCTAACACCAATGAATCTTGAGAACATAACCAAGGCTCTCTCATTATGTAACAATGAAGTAGCTATAGTCGATATCACCACCATCATAAGTGTTAACTAGAACCAAAGCAGCTAATCATGAAAGCAGTGATACAGGTACAGTGGTACCTTAGTATACATTCGCTTTGGAATAAGTCCAACTTGGTATACGTTATGTTTGGACATGAAAATTTTTGCTTGGAATACGACCTTTGTTTGGAAAACGACTTGCGTGCTAGAACTTGTATGGGTCAAAATGAGTCACGACACCACAGGCTACCCTTGTTTACCTTTCTCTCGAGACAAAGCCAAGACTGCCCACTAGTGTCAGTACGCCTGTTGCTACCATTCAGTGAACAACCCATGCTGTAATTCTCTCTGAATTTTCACATGATTTTGTTTTTTCATATACATGTAAATTTTTAGTAAATTCATTAACCAATAACCAGGTCCATGGGTCTGATGTGAGTGATGTTGATGTAGAGGAGTTAGTAGAGGGGCACAGGGAAGAGCTGACTACTGAGGAGCTGCAGAAACTCGAGGAGGAGCACAAGACTAAGATGGATACTCTCTCTTCAGGCTCGGCAGAGGAGATAGAGGAAGCCTCTGCTTCATTAATCAAGGAAATCTTTGCCAAATGGATGGACATCAAAACTTTAGCAGAGAAGGTCCTCCACCCCAACAAAGCCCAAACAAGCCGTAATAACATTGTCTGGAATGACCAGACAATGTCACATTTCCAAAACATCCTGAGGAGAAGGCAGAAGCAAAGTTCTTTGGACAGATTTTTAGCAAAAGTTAAACCTGGTGAGCTTCAACCAGGTCCAAATAGGGTAAAAGAGACAGAAAAGAAAAGGGGACTCTCCTTCCAAACAATAACATATCCTCCTCCTCCCTTCTCAGCACTATCCTAGTAGGTATTCTACTCTTTTCAGCAAAGTAAAGTGAGGTTAAATTTGCATTTATTTCATCTAATTATTTTGTATTTATGTATGTATTTTAATATTTATCAGTGTTTAAATTACATGTTTTAGTATTAAGCAGGGTTTAAATTTTATACAGCTCCATCAATGTATAATATGCCAATAACAATAAGATTTTTTTTTCATGGGAACGGATTAATCGTTTTCCCTATACTACGTACATGTATTTCTTATGGGAAAATTCGTTTGGCATACGTACTGTTTGGTATAAGTCCAAGGTCCTGGAACGGATTAAGGACATATACTGGGGTACCACTGTATTTACATTATTTGTGGAAGTTGCCAGAAATGTATATTGGTTAAGCTCTTAGAAATTCTGAAATATCTATTAGCAGGTATGGAAGAAGTGAATGTCTTCAGATATTTGGGAGTTGACTTGTCAGTGGATAGGTTTATGAAGGATGAGGTTAACCATAGAACTGATGAAGGAAAAAAAGGTGAGTGGTGCGTTGACAAAAAACGTTATCCATGGAGGCAAAGAAGGGAACGTACAAAAGTATAGTGATACCAACACTCTTATATGGGTGTGAAGCTTGGCCTGCAAATGATGCAGCGAAGAGGTGGCTGGAGGCAGTGGAGATGTCCTGTCTAAGGGCAATGTGTGGTGTAAATATTATGCAGAGAATTCGGAGTGTGGAAATTAGGAAGAGGTGTGGAGTTACTAAAAGTATTAGTCAGAGGGCTGAAGAGGGGTTGTTGAGGTAGTTTGGTCATTTAGAGAGAATGGATCAAAATAGAATGACTTGGAGAGCGTAAAAATCTGTAGGGGAAGGAAGGCGGCATAGGGATTGTTCTCAAAACGGTTGGAGGGAGGGGGTAAAGGAGGTTTTGTGGGTGAGAGGCTTGGACTTCCAGCAAGCATGTGTGAGTTTGTTAGATAGGAGTGAATGGAGACGAATGGCTTTTGGGGCCTGACGAGCTGTTGGAGTGTGAGCAGGGTAATATTCTGTGAAGAGATTCAGGGAAACCGGTTAGCCGGACTTGAGTCCTGGAAATGGGAAGTACAATGCCTGCACTTTAAAGGAGGGGTTTGGGATACTGGCAGTTTGGAGGTTGACTTTTAGACTGTCATATCTGAGTGCCTCTGCAAAGACAGTGATTATGTATGAGTGAGGTGAAAGTGTTGAATGAAGATGAAAGTATTTTCTTTTTGGGTTACCCTGCCTCGGTGGGAGACGAACAATGTGTTAAAAAAAAAAATGTGCCTGCTTAAACCTTTGTTTCACTGTGCTTCCCATAGTCATCTCATGAAATGGAACATCATAAGAATAATTACTGAGCAAACAAATTTATGGAACAATCGCCCAAAACTGTTGCAGTATTGTCAAATATAGCAGTGAGATGTTACATGTCTATTATGTAAAACTTCATTGTTAAACCTATGCTTTACCTTATTTTGTACAACTCTATTGTTAAATATCTTTGGTGTTACCTTTGTACACATGCCCTTACACCTCACCTGTTCACTATACATATCCTTTCTCTGTCCAGTTATGTACACAGAGGCTTGACAGAGCTCCTGGTGAGCGAAACATAGCATTCAAAACAATGCATGTGTGTTCGTGTAACCAATATACTTCAAGAAAATCTGCATAAGCTTGAAAACATATATAAATAAAATGTATATACTGCACTGGCAAGAGGTATGACTAATAATGTAATGTAAAATTGTGGTGACTACATTACAAGGGAGGGTTCATGCATGATTTATAAAGTACACCATATGAAAAAATATCAGCAGGTCATAATATTTTATGACACTCCTTTCAAAACTCTTAATGAGGCTCAAAATACCTGATAACAATGTGTGTTAGGATTATTAACAATTCACCAGACTTCACAAAAAATAAGATTCTTATACTTTATTCCACCACTGATGATCAGTTAAAAGCAAATGCATCAACTGATCATCAATTTATAGCATTAAGAAGATATGATCACTCAATGCCAAATGTTGATGTTTCTTCCACAGCCAAGAGCAACTTGTCGTACAACATCTCCGGAGAAGGGTAAGGCGGGAGATCAAGACGGTTGAAACATGTGTGAGCCCTGGTATAAAAATAAACATTAAAGGAAACTGTTTACTTAAAATTAATATAAGATATTAATAAAACTACAAAAAAAACATTTGACAAGAAAAATGGAAAAAAAAAAATACTATAATACACAAAAACAATTATAATACATACTGTATAACATGAGGTAAAATTATGTATCCATTCTGGTATAGCATTATTCCAAATTTGTGTTGCTTTCAGTAATAATGTCCAGTTTAGTGATCCTATACTGTGATTAAGACAGGACTAGATTTAGAGTGGAACCTCGGTTTTTGTGATTATTCCAGTTGAAAAAAGTGATGATAAACTGAATTGTACGAAAACTGAAGCAATATTTCCCATAAGAAATAATGTAAATCCAATTACTCCATTCCAGACACCCAAAAATATTAACAAAAAATACATTTTATAGAGAATAACTATAGTTTTACATACAAACTAGGGCATACGAAAATTGAGGTTCCACTGTACTGTGATTTAGGTAGTTGGAGCCTTGAGAGGTTTTGCTTTTGTTTTTATCTGTGACGAGTTTTGAGGGCTCTTCAACCCCGACAACCCAGCCTGAGGCCAGGCTTCCCTGTTACCTGTCTGATCAACAAAGCTGTTTGTGTAATAAAGTTGGTAGAATTACCGACAATATGTAAAGTAAAAGGACACAAGTGCAACTAATGTGACATTTTATTGTCGCAACGTTTCGCTCTCCAGGAGCTTTATCAAACCATTACAAACAATACATGGACACAGAGGGTATATAAAGGCTCAGAGTGAGGTGCAATACTAGTGAGGTACCATTTCGATGTTCACTAGTGGTAGTAGTAGTAGTAGTAGTAGTGACAAAAGTAATACAATATGGTAGAGCAATTAATTCGTACATGAGTAAAAGGATATAAAAGCTATTACTAGGGTAACATCAAAATAGGTTGGACAAATATAGACTGGAAAGAGGCAGCCTGTTTCAGTGTTCACTCTCTGTAATGTGCTTTGTGTAGTATAACAGGAGAGACTGTGTGATGGCAGGGTTTACTGTTTTCAGGAGGATTCTTGCTAAGACTTTGGAGATGGTGAAGCTGCCGTTGTTTTGTTTAATTGTGTTCGAAACAGCGATCAGTGCTGATTTGAGGCACTTGCGTCTGCGAAAATTAGTTTCTTTGATCACTAATTGGGCGTCTCTGAATTTCATGAGATGATTGGTGGAATTTCGGTGTTGTACACAGGCGTTGTTCAAGTTATCGTTCCTACATGCGTAAATGTGTTCATTGAGGCGGGTGTCAAGGTTTCTTGCTGTTTCACCTATGTAAATCTTGTCACAGCCTCCACAAGGTATAGTGTAAACTCCTGCATTGACTGGTTCTTGGTGCTTGGATTTTGTCCTGGTTAGATCCTTTATTGAAGTGCTAGAAGCGATGGCGACTCTGGTGTTAGCTTGTGAAAGTACTTTTGAGACGTTCAGTGCAACCTGGCTGTTGGGAAGAATTATAACTTTGTTGGGAGTGGTGTTGATGCATGGAGAATTAATTATCTGAAGAGCTCTTTTCTTGCAGTCTTTGATGAAAAAAGGAGGAAAATGTAACTCAGTGAATGTTTGGTGAATGTATGTACATTCCTCATGTATGGTTTACCCAAGACCCATAAACACAATATTCCTCTCAGACTAATCACGTCAGGAATAGGCAGTGCTCCACACAAACTAGCCGGAGTTCTTGCCAAACATCTTTCCTGCCTTCTGGGGACCATCAGCCACGCTAATCTTAAACACTCAGGCGACCTTCTCAACCGCATCCGAAACCTCTCCATCTGTAACAAGAAACTAAGCAGTTTGGATGTGACTTCCTCTTCACAAAAGTACCTACCAAAAAAGCCATCGAGGTTCTATGACGTAAAGTCAATCAGGACCTTAATCTTCCTCTACCTCCTGGAGATTCTGTTGACTTGATTGAACTCTTGTGTTAATTTCAACTGTTTTTCTTTCAATAACAAGCTCTACAAACAAACCTACAGCATGGGAATGGGGTCCCCCATCAGTGCCGTCCTAGCCAACTTATACATGGAACACCTAGAGTCCGAACACTTCGCCAACATCATCCCTTCAAGCGTCACTTGGTTACGTTATGTGGACGACGTCCTCGTAATAACTCCCAAACGTTTTGATGTACAGAATCTTCAGGCAAGGCTCAACGCAGTTGAACCGGCAATCCAGTTTACACTAAACGAAGAGTCCAATGACAAGCTACCTTTCCTCGACGTCCTCATTCACAAAGTAGACAACCTAAGATTTCAAGTTTATTGGAAACCCACCAATAAAAATGATCTCACACACTTCTATTCCAGTCAAGATACCAAGACCAAAAGAGGCATCATCATCGGGTTTTTCCTAAGAGCATACCAAATTTGTAGTCCTGAGTTTCTTGACGAGGAATGTACATACATTCACCAAACATTCACTGAGTTACATTTTCCTCCTTTTTTCATCAAAGACTGCAAGAAAAAAGCTCTTCAGATCATTAATTCTCCACACATCAACACCACTCCCAACAAAGTTATAATTCTTCCCAACAGCCAGGTTGCACTGAACGTCTCAAAAGTACTTTCACAAGCTAACACCAGAGTCGCCATCGCTTCTACCACTTCAATAAAGGATCTAACCAGGACAAAATCCAAGCACCACGAACCAGTCAATGCAGGAGTTTACACTATACCCTGTGGAGGCTGTGACAGATTTACGTAGGTGAAACAGCAAGAAACCTCTACACCCGCCTCAATGAACACATTTACGCATGTAGGAACGATAACTTGAACAACTCCTGTGTACAACACCGAAATTCCACCAATCATCTCATGAAATTCAGAGACGCCCAATTAGCGATCAAAGAAACTAATTTCCACAGACACAAGTGCCTCGAATCAGCACTGATCGCTGTTTCGAATACAATTAAACAAAACAACGGCAGCTTCACCATCTCCAAAGTCTTAGCAAGAATCCTCCTGAAAACAGTAAACCCTGCCATCACATAGTCTCTCCTGTTATGAACATCAAAATGGTATACAATACCGACAGGTTGTTAGGTAAGACACACATGCAACAGTTAGACAACTTTATTCCGAAACGTTTCGCCTACACAGTAGGCTTCTTCAGTCGAATACAGAAAGTAGGCAGGAACAGTAGAGATGTGAAGACGATGTAATCAGTCCATCACCCTTAAAGTCGTAGAATTTGAGGTTGTCAGTCCCTCGGCCTGGAGAAGTTCAGTTCCATAGTCAGGAACTATCTGAAGATCAAGCGACAGTGCGGAGACTTAAATACTGTCGGAAGGAGAGGTGCAGGGTAGTAGTAGTAGTAGTGAGAGGCCACTGAGAGGTCATGTCCCTCTCAGATCCAACACTTCTCACTTGAAAAGCTTGTCCAAGGTGTTTTCTGTACCAAGATGCCACGTGTTGCAGTGTCTGACAAGATGAAAAATCAAAATGGTATACAATACCGACAGGTTGTTAGGTAAGACACATATGCAACAGTTAGACAACTTTATTCCGAAACGTTTCGCCTACACAGTAGGCTTCTTCAGTCGAATACAGAAAGTAGGCAGGAACAGTAGAGATGTGAAGACGATGTAATCAGTCCATCACCCTTAAAGTCGTAGAATTTGAGGTTGTCAGTCCCTCGGCCTGGAGAAGTTCAGTTCCATAGTCAGGAACTATCTGAAGATCAAGCGACAGTGCGGAGACTTAAATACTGTCGGAAGGAGAGGTGCAGGGTAGTAGTAGTAGTAGTAGTAGTGAGAGGCCACTGAGAGGTCATGTCCCTCTCAGATCCAACACTTCTCACTTGAAAAGCTTGTCCAAGGTGTTTTTCTGTACCAAGATGCCACGTGTTGCAGTGTCTGACAAGATGAACATCAAAATGGTATACAATACCGACAGGTTGTTAGGTAAGACACATATGCAACAGTTAGACAACTTTATTCCGAAACGTTTCGCCTACACAGTAGGCTTCTTCAGTCGAATACAGAAAGTAGGCAGGAACAGTAGAGATGTGAAGACGATGTAATCAGTCCATCACCCTTAAAGTCGTAGAATTTGAGGTTGTCAGTCCCTCGGCCTGGAGAAGTTCAGTTCCATAGTCAGGAACTATCTGAAGATCAAGTGACAGTGCGGAACTTAAATACTGTCGGAAGGGGAAGTGCAGGGTAGTAGTAGTAGTAGTAGTGAGAGGCCACTGAGAGGTCATGTCCCTCTCAGATCCAACACTTCTCACTTGAAAAGCTTGTCCAAGGTGTTTTCTGTACCAAGATGCCACGTGTTGCAGTGTCTGACAAGATGAAAAAAAAAATGGTAACAAACCGAAGGTTGTTATAAAACACTACAACAGTTACCATTTTTGAAACTTTCGCCTAAAACAGTGGCTTTTGTCGAAACAAAATTTTCAGGAAATTTGGATTGAAGACTTTAAACAGTCCCTCACCCTTTAAAAATCTAAATTTGAGGTTTTAGCCCCTCGGGCCTGGAAGAAGTTTTCCCATAGTAGGAACTTTTGGCAAGGACGCAACTTAAATACTTGGGGAGGTATCGGGTTAATAGTGTATGTATGTGAGACCCACTGGATATGCCCCTTCAATAAAGTTGTCAACTGTTGCTATGTCTTACCTAAAAACCCTTGTATTGTTACCATTTTGATGTTCTCTTGTCAACACTGCAACACTGCATCTTGGTCAGAAAACCCCTTGGAAAAGTTTTTTCAAGTGAGAAGTGTTGGATCTGAAGGGACATGCCCCCTTCGGGGCCCTCTCCAACAAAAATTTTTTTACTATTTCCCTTAACTCCCCTGCACCTCTTTTTCCGACAGTATTTAAGTCTCCACTTCCTTGATCTTCAGATAGTTCCTGACTATGGAATAAACTTCTCCAGCCGGGGGACTGAAAACCTCAAATTCTACACTTTAAGGTGATGGACTGTTTACATCGTTTTTCACATCTTACTGTTTCCTGCTACTTTCTGTAT